AGAGTTTTTGAACCTCCCTCATCTGAGAGATTCGGCACTACACACGGTGGAAAGCATATCTAGGCCTACTGGACTGACACGAGTTCTTCCCAACCAAGACACGACCTTGTGAGATCTCAGCCTGATATGGAGTGTAAGCCGTGTACCAGCCTGGCAAGCCGTATGGGCCATAAGCAACAAAACATGACAACAAATTGTGCATGTACTGCTTCAACACTGTCCTGAAACAGTGCGTTTGTGCACGGTGTCACGGGGGGGTTCAAGGACCTCCCCGGGTACAGGTAGGAACCAGCTTTTCTTCCAACGTCAGGTGGGACGTTTAAATCCTGGAATCATCAATGGTCAATGCTCCCAATGGTGCCACACATCGGTCATCTACCATCATCTACCTAGACCCTCCAACAGGTGCTTTCCTTAAAAAAGCTACACGTGCGCACAGCACGAGGCCCCACCTGGATTCTCCAAAAGGTTTCGGAGAATGGGCCCTGGCACATGTGAGCCGTGATAGCCTCAGGCCACGGTAGAGTTCTTGAGCCCTTCCCCCTGCAATGCCCTTTGTTGCTAGTAGCTTCTTGTTACTAGTATCTATTTGCTCGTAGTAGTAATGCCCTTGTTACTAGTAGCGATGCCCTTGTTCCTAGTAGCTTCTTGTTACTAGTAGTATTGCCGGGAGCTACTGCGATGCCCTTTGTTACTAGTGGGTTTAAGATGGTTTAAGGTTCTAACAACACACAGCTTGATTCATTAGATGTCATTAGTGAGACTTTCATTTGGATGGTGAGGTCGCCTGTGTTTCCGCAAGGCAAACTGTGAGAATCAATTGGCCGTTGGGTAGCCAGGGGGGCACATGATCTGTTTCGGGTATTGGCCGTTTTGATGACATCCATGACAGGCGCCAAAGTCCCATGGTGCATCATGGTGTGAAACATTGTGAAACCACACAACTCTGCGCAAGCACTCGATGCCGAGCGACCCATGCCAATGTAGTTCTTGGCAATGACATTCTTGCCTTGCTACGGCCAAAGGATGAAGAACTTACCAAATTGCACACTAAAGGAACTGCGAAAGCAACATAATTTCCATGTCCAAGATCATCGGAGGTCGTCGAACAACCTTGAACCAATCAACCAAACATATAACAATGTCACACACAGTGAGCAAAAACAGCTGCACTCGTACCCATGGTCCATCCATGTGTGCTGAGTTGCTTAGCATCTCTTTGAGCAAGGCTAAAGATCCGGATTCTCCTCAGATTTGCATTGGAGTGCCACAAATCAGTTGGCAAAAATGTCACATTGCGCCCCAAAAGCCACCCTTTTTCTCTGCACGATCAATGCGCTACAAGCACTTCTCCAGGATCAAACCAACATGTTTGCTGGCATTTCCTCCCTGAAAGGAATCCAATGAACGAAACTAAATAAACTAAGGGCCTGATCGCGAGGCATCGTCCCAAAGCCATGTCTAGTTAACATGTGTTGGAACATGTTGGAATTATATTTGCATCATCAATTGGTGGCTAGATGTGGCTAGCATCCTGCAGCATGATCGGCACCCAAGGTTGAGTTGCTACACAGCACTTGCGCGACAAACCTTGAGGACAAATCCTGGAGGCTTGAATAGAGTATAGAGTCAGGCAGTGCTCAGCCAACCTCGTGCCCGTTACCAACACAGGGTAGTGCATGGGGGCTCGTTTGGAACCTGGACTTTAAACGCCACATTCGTGGGACTTTCGCGAAATTCACTGGTGACTTCCCCGACAAGGAAAGTCATGGGCAAAAATCTGCGTAACTACAGGTCGTTGCCTCACTGTCAGGGCTGCGCAAGGGTGATGCAGTTGCTGTTTGTGATTGTGAGTTAACTTGAGGAACGGCAATCCTGTACGCACTGTCAGGGCTTTGCAAGGACAAATTGTGTTGTCAGGTTGTTCGTCTGTGACAGTGGGGACATGTGGGGACACTTCCGCCCACCGGCTGTGTCGGAGGATTCCCTTGTACTTCAATCATATGCCGGTACTCTACCAATCTTTCGCAAAAATAATACAGACATTCGCGGACCTCATCGCGGATCATTGCGGATGGCTTGGACGGCATCTATTAGATATATTATAATATACAAGATTGATTTATGTAAAGCCCCTTACACACCCCTCTTTTGATCAACCCTTCTATCAAAGCTTCACATGTTCGGCGAATAGGATCCACAGGCCTACAAATCTATCTGGCCGCATCGAAAGTTATCGTTGGCTCTATCTTGCTAGGTGTGAGGTCTGAATTGTGGACACTGTCAAAGGCAAACAGTCTAAGGACCTCTGTAAAGTCTGAACGCAAACCTGTGGACTAGTTCCCGAATCCCAGAGAAGAAAAACACATAAGGTGTTCAAAAACTCATGCATGCCGATATGTACAGCGGCATTTATTTGGTACTAAACTCAAATACTTTAGTAGCAAATCACACTATCTCGTTCAGACTACTTTAGTGTCATCAACCAAAAGCATCTCGTTTAAGTTTATATCTGTGGGGACCCTATCTCGTTCACAAGCGAATACCGAATACTGATGATAGTATAGACAAGCAAATAGAGCATGCCGTAGACTAATTACTGTAGTAAAGCCTTACAAAAGACGTGATTGCTCATATCACGAAAACGGCGTTCCATTTACACGTGTAGACTGTAGACTAAACTAGGCTCAATAAACCAAATCTTGATGGATCCCACACCCAATCCTCGCAAGGTAGCCAATCGCAGCCAAAAACTCTCGAGTCACAAAATTGCAAATTCAACATCCGGCAACATCCCCAGTTTCCACCTTGCAACATGAAAACAACATAAAACAGCACTGAGAAACCCAAAAACCACCAATCTCTGGTGACCAACACCGACACAATCCACTCCCCAACCCACCCCACCCATCGTCAGGTGGCCCAAGCGCCCATCAGGCAGCTCCATTGGCTGTTCACGCCGCACGGAGGCGGGGATGGTCAACCTTGGCCACAGCACCCCACTCGGGAGCCGAGTGCCCTTGGATGGCGAACCGTGGATCGGTGGGAGAGGTTGCAACAAGTGATCTTGGGAACGAACGGCACACGAAGGCCAAAGAGATGTTGAGTGTAGAAGAAAACGATGTCGGGGCCAGGGCTACGCTGTTGAATGCAGGGAACTGTTTAGTTCACCTTCATGCAGAATTGGTGATTTTAGACAGTCATAATGAGATGGGCACCCAGGCACCCCCCAAGGAATAAAACACACCCTTCAGATCCCTGCAGAAGCATTTCCAATGGAAGAAGTCGCACCACCCGGGCAGCCCAATAACTTGCAGCAGCTGTGAAATCCTTCTATCTCTGGTGCAGGAAGCTTCCACCATCAAATTGGAACAGGGGTGTCCTGTCTGGACCCTTGGCCCTACCCGACAGTCTTAGACATCTCCAAAACAGGACACCCTTCCGATGCACCAAATGGTCCAGGTACCCTCAATCCGGGCTGAGTCACTCCATAAGCTCAGCCAAATCCTTCACACCAATCACCTGCAGCAAATCGGAACGTCACCATCTGCCCCTGAAGCCATCAGAAAACCATATAGCACCCCGCAAGTCAGGATAGTCTGCTTGAGGGTGTTATTTTGGGTGAGCAGAAGGGTGAGCAGAACCAGTTCCCGGACCTGAAGGCCACCGTTTGGGCCTGGCGTGGAATCTTATACGTACAAAACACTACAGCCCCTGAGAATTGTCCTGATACCACTGGGCATACTGAAGAACCTAGCTCAAGTCCACCTGCTTCCACCGGAAACCATAACAACATTTGTTTTCCAACATAACTGCCTCAGCTCAGAATCAGAATGCTTGGCGCAATACATAGTTTTGTGCTGTTTCGTGTTGGCATGCAGTTTGAACATGTTTGAACCACATGTCCAAATTTTGGGCAACCTGTTCTTTCAGTCTTCACAGCCGCGACAGACGCATACAAACATGCCCATTAATAAATCGACCGAACCCCTCTACCCTTTCCATGCAACCACATGCGGCCGTAGACTGCATGATTGTACATGTGCATGAGCTGTTCCTTTGGATGGCAAGTAGTATCAAGTATAGTAACATACGGTGTATCCGCAGTAGGGTCACCTCATCATTCCCAAATATCAATGATGGTTGTCTATCTATTTAGTTAGACTCTTGGACATGCGCACCATAGTACAGCTGCCCCAACCCTGGCCATGATCCATACCATTCCATACCATCCACACGGGTGGGCAACCATCCACTCCGCGCCTTGCACATCTCTTGCACATCCGAGGGAAGCGGGCCCAAGTGTCGCTGCTGAAACTGGTCCGTGGGCAGGAAGAGGTCGCTGCTCGAAAACCTGGCGGGCGCCCCGCCCCGTCTGACGTTGGTCGTTGGTTGGGGAAATGTGTCTGACCATGTTCTCGGGTGCAAGCCTATAGTGACTATATAGTGGCCTGAAAGGCCTTTGGAATCTCTGAACCCATGATCAAGTTGCCTCTCGAAGACTCTCAGAAGCATGAATTAAATCATATATATTAAATCCATTTAAATCCCTACCCAGGATCTCCCAGGCGACCTCGCCACCATGACACCCAACATCTCCCACTTCCATCGTCCCACCTTCGCATTGCACGGGCCAGGCATCGGGCCTTAAGGGCCACTCCAGCGGAGTGGGGAAGCCGCCGGATCGCCATGGGGCTTCGCGGCGGGGCGTCCAGAGAGGCGGGGCTTCGAACCGTGCGATCGCTGCACGCTGCGGACGCAGAGCGGACGGAGTTCCCAAACGGCGGCGGTACGGTGATTCTCCGGATGCGGCATCTGAAAGCCCGATGGCCCTGGGGAGGACGTGGATTGCTTCAAAAGTTCTTCAATGTCTGAGCTTTCGACACCCAATATTCATCTGCAGCCCACCTCAAAAACCATCCATCTCCCATCTCAAGTCCCATGTCAAGCAGCCAAAAGGCTCCTGCCCATCTTTCCCTCCCATGGCGCCCCCACCCCACCTCTGTTCGATCAATTGCCGCATCTTCGCCTCCGCCTCGCGGTCCGCCAACGTCACGGGGCTCTCCGCCACCGGGCGGCCCGGCTCGTGCTTGGACTCCACGGGCAACTGGGCGGGAGGATCGGCATCGGATGGGTAGCAGGTGGCCAACCGGCCGCCGGCGCCAAATCGGGATTGGTCTGTTTATGCCAAGATCGACCTCCCGAATCCTGGATCGACCCGATGCCGAGAGGCCGGCTTCCGCCAATACCTTGCAGAACTGGGTGCTGGACGGTCCAGGGGCTCAGAAAGCTTCGGAATTCGGGGTCCCATCCATTACAGCCTTGACTCACTGGACAAGGCGAGACATACAAAAGACACAATCCTCATGCGGGTCCATTCGTATCCCAATCGAGGCAAGAACTGTGCATCCCAAAATGTTCCCCAAAACCTCCGCGCTTGGCAACTGGCGAAACGGGCGTTCCGGATGAATGAGAAACATTGAGAAACCACGGTTGGTAGGCCCGCCCCTCGCTCGCCAACGGCGGTGGGTCACTTCAGGATGACGGCTCCAGCTGCATCGGCCAACTCTTCAGCAAAGGCCACCAGGTCACCAGGCACCGCCATGGTGGGACGGGGCAAGAAGTGCCGCAGGAATGGCGTGAACAAATGAAGATCATCTATAGTCTATAGACTAATTCTAGATGGAACACAAAGTAGAACACATGATGGAACATGGTGATTCTGTGATTCTTCCACTTGTGCCATGATCCCAACCACCCACCTGGGAGGCTTGCATGCATTGCAACACAACGGCTCCCACTTCCCAATTGAATGCAGTTGGACAATGGGAATTTTCTCCGAAAGCTTGGGTACACCATAGTCGTCCCAAGGCTTGGAGGAAATTTGCTGACTTCATGATCCTGTGTTGCATGTCTCTTTGCGCACATCAGCAACTAAGCATGCCCGTAAGCCGGCAGCGGAAGGATGGCAGCGAGAGCCACAGCGCGACGACCCGAAGAGCAAGTTCCCCCAAGAAATCCAGCCAATTCCAGCACCTGGAAGGTTGAACATTTAGTGTTCTTTCTCTGGGTGTTTAATGGATGTGTAATTGGTCATGTGCTGAATATACTGCGTCAGTCTCATGCGTGTACATGCCTGGCCCCTGCATTTGACCCGAGTTTCGTCGATCAAAGGGGTGGCAACGATGATGGAACACATTAAACACGGAGGGCCTTCCTCCCGCTGGATCGGCCTGTGAAAAGAGCTCCTTAGCAAACCCAGCCACAACTGATGTGTAATTCTAAGTCCCTGATGGACACAATAACACAGATCAAAATCTTCAAACTTATAGACGCTACAAGTAGAATCTACAATACAAATTGTTAGTTTCTATGTCAGTGAGATTCCTGCAATCTGCAAAGTAGCAAAACTCCATGAAGACCACGCCGACGAAATCCATGCCATGCCTTGCAAATGTCCATGCCAATCTCTCCATCCGAGCCTCTCGGTCCGGCACCGGGTGGAGACGTCCCATCCCCCCCGAGCGCGGAGAAGGTCGTGGTGAAGCTCAAGGCTATTCTACCATTCAGCGTCGGACGCTCGTCGCGGCTGGGTGAACACATGGTTTGCTTTGCATGCCGCGCTGATCTGCGCAAGCGCGGTGTGGCAAGAGATCGCGGTGTGGCACCGACCTCGACTGGCATAGCAGCGGGCCAAAACCTGGTTGGCCACTGTGGCGTTCCTGGAAGGGACGAAGGAGTGGAAGGAATCAGCATCAGGATGGATCCATCACTAGCAACATACGAAAGCTGAACTGAAAGCTGAAAACATGTTCAACAAATAGGATCAGTTGATCACGCTATATCACGCTTCAGTTGATACTTGAATATACTTGATCAACGAAAAACCTTTCACGATCGTTTCCAGAAGTTCCCAAGCTCGGCTACACAGCAGCGGCTCGGACCCCCGGCGGCGTGGTGCTGGTGGGCTTCAACACCACCTTGGTCGTTTCCGCGAAAAAAACCAGCGAATCCACTCAACCTGTGAGCGACCGGTGAGGTCGGTCTCCTCTGCATCTGGGAACCAGACCTGACCAAAGTCGCGGAAACCAAAGACACATGCCCCAACTTGAACAAGCATGTCCAAAACCGCTGGCCGAGTGCCATATCAAGAAATAACAACACATGTCATATGAAAACATCGTGTACTTACGTAACATATATTCCATCTTGCTGGACTTTCGGGTCGCATGGGTCACCTTTCCATGGCGATCACAACAACTCGCTGATTCTCCTTGATTGGGCACCCAGGCCGCCGGCTCACGGGAGGAAGCCTCATAGCGGGTTGCATCCCGTGTTGTTGAGACCTTGAAAACTGCAAACACCTTGCCCTTTCGAAAACAACGATGTCAATTGATTTCAGTATTGATGTACTGTATAGTATCAAACATGTTGGTTTGGAGCTCATTTATGCACGCTTGATCTCGTTTTAGGCAAATTGGTGTGACTTGCACTGTTAGCATGACGACTTCAAGCATGGTGGGTAATCCATAGTCGTCCATCCATAGTTCTACACCCTCCACAAGGCAGTGTTCGCCGCCCTCAAGACACTTCCCACAAGACCTTTGTCCCTCCGGCCTGCGCACCGGGCTTCAAGGTCGCCTGGGCAGCGACAGTCACAGTAGCAAAGCACTCAGCCGACGAAAAAAGATGAAAAAGAACTCACGATGTCACCAACCGGCTTACGAAGGCTCCAGCTTTTCAAAGGCTCGCGCTACTCTGTGCTGGATGCTGGTGCGGCATCCGAAGATTTCCGGGCTCTCCAAGCGGATTGAATGGCTCGGGTGGAACGAACAGCCTGGAAGACACGGGTGAGACTTGACAAACTGTTTCGACCGCCCTCCGGACGATCGGGCGAAGATGGATTACCTTTGGACTTGGAGCACGACAGCCGACGCCCCGGATTCATCTCACTGGCTTGCGCCTCAAAGCCATGGTCTCGGAAGAATTCGGCATATTTGCCTTGCACCTCAGGGGAGGCCCCCCTCCATCCTCCCTGCAAAAGCTCGGAACTTTTGCTCCTCACTGGGCCTTCACCAAAGTGGATGAAGCAAGCGGTGCAATTGTCCTTACTCCCCTTGTCCAAGCAAAGCTTTAGGAGATCAATGCAGACCTGTCCCGCATCTAGCCCATGAGGCCCATCCAATTTGGACGGATGCTCTTCCACAAAGGTCCGCACCTCTTCATTCTCCATAACATCGAAAATGCCATCACAAGCTAGAAGTACCCAATCCCCTGCTGAGCACCCAGAGATGGTTTGCACTTCGGGCACGGCCGAGACCTTCGTTTTGGAGGGTTCCATCCCCTTGGGCTTGAAATGAAAGTCGCCCAGCGCCCGGCTCACGGCCAAAGCACCATCCACTCGCATGGGACCTCCCAAGGGCCCTTGAGAGACGCAGCCGCCGGCCGCTTCGATGCGGCGAGTCTCGTCTTCTCGGTTGGGCTTGTGGTCCTTGGAGAAGAACAGGCATCGCTTGCGGCTGAGAACTGCTCGAGAATCCCCGGCATGTGCGATCTGCACGGTGTAGGAACCAGACACCTCAGGGGTCAGAATGCAAGCGACCACGGTACTGCCACTGCGGTCTTCTGCTTCAAGGTGGCTGCGCAAGCGGCTATCAGTGTCAATGAACGCGTCTTGCAGGATTTTTTGGACCTGACCGGGGGGCTTCCCACAGAGAGTCACTTGCTTCAATGCCTCCTCAAGAAGCCGCGCACCATCAAAGGCCGCACTGCTTCCGCCATGACCGTCCAGCACTGCGAAGACCCCGCCGCCGGAACGCTCATCCGGGCAAAGGAGATGCGCATCTTCGTGGCTTCGGCGCCAGCCTTGCATCGTGACGGCAGCAGCTGACCATGAAGGAGAGGAACAATGCTCCACGACCATGGCGGTCACAGGCTCTGAGAGAATGGCGCCCATGACTGAAACGAAGGCGACCAGGCTCTGCCGGCTCCACGACGGACCGGGGTCAGAACGATGTGAGCTAGGAACACGTACTTATGCTGGCATCCACTGGAACCAGAAATCACCACTGGACTTGTGGCACATGCTTGGGCCAAAAAAGGATCCACAATGATGGAATAATCTTACAGTTTGCTACCTAAACTGATGACGCATGTTCCTGTTTTTCAAGAGTGCAACTCGAAGCCCTGACACAAACTCACGATGTAAGAATTGCCCGAGATGATGTGGTTCTTGTGGCGGGGAAGGATTGTGCGTGTAATTAGCTCCTACATTGCCTCAAATTTGCCACTAATCTGACGCGGTGCCCGAGGCTGTGGCGGCCAACACGGCTCTGCCAGTCAAATCCATGACATCGGCTTGCGCCTGTCGTTGCAACGCATAAGAAACATGCATGTATATTCCTGTATAAGTTGACTCAGCGAAAGGCAGAGAGCGACGTTCTTTTGTCTGAAAGGATTTTGGTCGAACATTGCGGATGACGCGCGTTCATTTTCCCGTAGCGAAGTGTTCTTGTTACTTGTTTAACTCTGGGGGTCTGGGGGTAGACTCGTGTTCGCGATGCGTGCTCTCAGCGTTCGCAGCCGTCCGCAACCGTTCACAACCGGTCGCCGCCGCCCGCAGTAGGGCGCTAAGGCCGCTGCCATTGAGGGAAGCTTTTGGAGAGGGTTTGGCATGGAAGCGTGATGTGTCAGATTCGTGTGAAAATAGCGTGGAAACGTGTGGAAAGAATGTAAGATGGAGGATGATTTCACTGCGCAGGCGCAGCGTTTTGTGAGGTCCACAGTTTTCTACGCATTGGGATTATAGTGTTTGGAGAGTGGTGTTTTGGGGGTGTTGAAAGTGCGCAAGAGCGTCCTACAAGAGTGACCCACAAGAGTGTCCCACAAAAGTGATACGGTGTCCCACAAGAGTGTCCCGCAACAGTGTCCCAGAAGAGTGTCCCACAAGAGTGTCCTGTAAGAGTGTCCCACAAGAGTGTCCTACAAGAGTGTCCCGCAAGAGTGTCGCGCAAGAGTATCCTACAAAAGTGTCCCAAAAAAGTGCCCCACAAGAGTCTCCTACAAGAGTGACCCACAAGAGTGTCCCACAAGAGTGTCCCACGAGAGTGTCCTACTGTCCTACAAGAGTGTCCCGCAAGAGTGTCCCCTAAGAGTGTCCTATAAGAGCGTCCTACAAGAGTGTCCCGTAAGTGTCCCACAAGAGTGTCATTTGGACATATGTAGCTTTTCGAACGTGTTTGCCAGTGTTTGCATTCGGGTTCGTCGGCTCCATCTTGTTTTTGTTCTGGTAATTGCGTGGACTCTTTCTGAAGCACTTGGAGGAGTACGGCTTAGTAGGCGACCAAGCGACAACTAACTGAAGACCACATCACAACCATGTGTTCATGTCATTTCATGTCGACACGTCCTAGTTGCTCTCCAACATAAATGTTTCTTTCATGCAATTTAGGAGAATCCCCGCTTGCATGAGTCTGCCATCGACCTGTCCCTCCAAGTCCGACGTTCCAAGAGTCTGACCGACCTCTCCTGCGTATTTTTGCCCAACACTGGCAGGTCACCTCTGCTCCCGAAAAAAGTGCAGCAGTGACAGCAGAACTTCCACCGTTCTACGTCACACGCGACGTTTTACCGCGCGTACTTGTTGCTGTGTTTTTTTTGTGCGGGCCACGCCTCCGCCCATGCGACACCCTGGGGTAACCGAACGGCCAGCACACACTCGCTACCTGGCAGAACACACTTGGACCAAATGACCCTCCAAAGGGGCTCTATCTTGGTGGAGATCAAGGTGAGGGATCAACTGGAGGGAAGCACAAGGTTTGACGAGTTGTGTTCCAGGTCTATCCCAAACAGCTCTGGCCTTGAAAACACCAACAAATTATGCAGGATTGGTCTCTCATACTGAGAGCGCCACATATTGGATGCTACTTTGCTGTCGGTTCAAAGTCAGAAAGAAACCAAGACTTTGTCAGAAGCACGCCAATGCAAGGTCACTGGAAAAAAAAAGGAACGTACATGCAGTGGGAACTGGGATTGCAAAGCCGGCTTGTCACATGACGCATGCCTTCCGAGATGGGACGCCGCCACCCCCGGAATGCATGTCACCTCAGAGTCCATGAGCGCCCCCCCAACGACGACGCATCGATACGAGTCGTCGCGCTCTATCTACGTATTGGTTCGGTCGGGCCTGAAGGAACGACCAAACCCTGACAAAGGTGTTGTGATCGGCTGATGCCTGGCAACGCGGATGCCGGCAGTTCCAAGCCTCAAATAGAGTCCTATTAGGTGAACAAATATTTACAATGAAGGAATCAGGCAGGGTGCAAGCAAGCTACGGCAAGGGATAGCATCCTGGTTGATAATTATCGATACATGCACTGTATAAAGCATCAATGAAGTCGGCCGGCGGGCCGGTGATACTCGACAATCCCCAAACATGTCCCATGTGCTATCACCATTGCATTTGCCTTCCCCAAAGAACCTAGAGATTGGCAGTCATCCAGATCAGAACAAGAATGCATGTGTATATATATATATATATTGCCGGGTATGCATTTCAATTCATATATGATATGTTTCCTTTTCTTCTGCTTGCGCCCTGAGTGCCTCTGGTCGGAGGAAGCGCCGACCTGACGCCAGCGCCCGGTGACTCGACTGGTGGCCGATCGTTCTGGGTTCAAACCAGCCTCGAACGGCCAGGCAATTCTGGAACACATGTTGTGTGCACATGAACCGAGAGCATGCAACAAAGCAGTAAACAAATGCATAGACATAGAACACTCAAAGCACCCTAGATAGATAGATAGATTTGATTTTGGTAGATTAGAAAAAGATTAGATTAATTAAATAGATAGATGGATAGAGATATAAATAACAAACACATAACAATAAATAGACAAATAACAACACAAAGAAAACATGTGGGTGTTGATCAAAATAAAGGTATCTGAGGCAGCTACAATCGCCGATCAACCGCGAATCAATCGCGACCCCAACGGTGTCAATCGCGGGAGAGTAATCTCGTATGCAACACTATTTTATGCAAAGAATCGTCGAAACATTGCTACATATCACAGTATTTAGAGACATGGCGCGAGCCAGGGCCTACTCAGGCGGGTTTAACAATCGCGGCACAATCGCGGATTTTGTCGACATTTTTTGAGAATTGAATTGATCTGGGCTGGTAGACTTTGAACTTTGTTGTTCTGATTCTTCTTTGCTATATTGGCTATCACTATTGAACACAGTGTCTAGGCAAACCCGAATACAGTGTAAGGCTGAACTGTAACATAATTATCATCCGCATATAAAACTGATTTCTCCCCTTACAATAAATGTTTGTCTCAATCGCGAACCAATCGCCGATCAATCGCGATGCAGGGTTTTACAATCGCAAATGCTGAGATATACATGCCCTTTCATAATTCTTAGATTTGCATTTACGGTCGGCTCCCATGTCTATATAACGATTGATAGACAACACATAAATAAAAAGTAAGGATAGATAGGATACATAAGACAAAATACGATAGGATAGGATCAACACAAATATAAGAGCAATCGGAATAAAACATATAGATAGATGATGATAGATGCTATGATCGTGCTGGTTGGATGAAAGGTGTGCAACTACAGTACCACCATGGATTCCTCTTTTGACAATGCTGGTTTTGACAGCAGCTCAAGACGGAAAGACCCCGTTGTCCCTTCAGTGTGTGTCTAAGATCTGGGCTCCAGCAGTCCTGAGCACATGGGCATGGCCTGTGCCTCTTGTCTTGCCAAAGGTCCAGGACAGGAGGTCTTCCGAACCATAATATTAGGACATAAATAACTTTGACCTATCAAGTAAGATATGTGCCGGGATATACATGCCCTCCGTCTGGCCATCCGGACTCCGAGCACAAGTCCACAAGTCCGGAGCTGCAAATCATGCTAGAGAAAAACATCACTCAGAACTTGTCTGCTTGGACTTGATTTCTTCTTTGTTGCCATGTTGACCATTGTTCTTGCTGCATGAAATTGTGGTTTACAAACACTCGCCTGGCCCAGCTTCCCCACCCATCTACCGGATTCCATCGGCATCCCCACGGGCCGCATATTCGGGTGAAGACCTAAACACGGCGCCCGTGCGTGTCATGGGCATGTCAGGCGGCGTGTGCAATCGGACGGGTCGTCCAACGATGTAAAAAGCACAGCAACAAGCACTGTGGTTCGCTCGCAAACGCAGGCGCAGAATGGACAACAGTCCTGGAAGAGTCCTTTTTCAATCATGTTCTGTTGTTTCAGTGGTTTCCCACTGACGAGATGTGCATGTGGGGTGCCTCCGTATGCGGCCCTAAGCAAAGTGTCTGACATACCGTTGCGGATCAAACCGTCCGAAGAGAGTGGTGAGATTGCAAAACCCTGTTCGGCCATTGTAGCTGATCACTATAGAAACTGTCATCACACAGGACTACACACTCGCAGTGTCCATAAATGCGGATAAGAGTTGATCAAGAAATGACAAATCATCAGAGCAAGTCCGCCAGGTCTCCCCTGTAGCTCCCACTCTGCACCAAATCCCATGAATCCATCAAAGCATATTCCCCACACAGCTGTCGGAAACTACCGAGGTCGTCACAGAAAGTCTCTAGGGCTCACCTGGCACCGCTGCCCGTCACGCAATCCGAACTCGGCGTCCAACAGCGGAAGCAAAGGCTTGGTGAATCTCGGCTGATTGGAGGAAGCGAAGCAACATCTCAGGGGTGTTTGGACGGCTCAACCCACCCTGGAACAGCTTTTGGGATCCCTTGCCAAGCTTCTCACAGGTGTCATTTTGGATATTGGAGAGGTAGAGATAGGTAGAGAAGATAGCGCTAGGTCCATGCACGATCTCTAAACTCATCTTACAGTAACTCATTTGTCCATGAATGATGTCAGATTTGAGCACGCCCCAAAACATTGAACAACTTAAGACGTATGTTCTAGATTGTTCTAAGATGTTCTAGGTCAGTGCCAAAAATGCTGTTGAAGTTGCGACAATTCCATCCCTGCCTCGGACACTTCTCCACCAGGCCTCCAATGGGAGTTGGACTTGCTTGAACACTGTTTTCAATATCCTGTCTTTAGAATGAGCATCGTCCAAGTCAGGTACAGGATTGTTGGAGCAGGTTTGTGGTCTTCGGACAAGCTTGGGGGTAGAGATGGGTAAACATTTGGCAGGTTGGGAACTCACTCCCCAAAGTTCTGAGCACGTTGGGAGATCCAACAGGTCTTTTCGCTTCACACGATCTCTACGAGGTCTCTATACGGGGTCTCTACGAGGCAAGAGCCGTTCGATGACCGGCTTTCGTTTGGAACATCTCGAAACGTCTTGGAACCACTCTCTGTCAAGCTGTTCAGCAATGCGAAGAGCCAAGATGTGCGAGTTTTGGTTACCTCAGTCACGATCTTTTGTGTCTGTTGTTTGCAGAGTGCTTCTGCACCCATGCCATTTGGCTTGGTGAATCCCCAAATGAATTTCCATCCCCAAGTAACCCACTCAATCACACCAACGTCCGTATCACCTTCCTCATGCAACGAACACCAGCGGCTCTCCAGGGTCAACAATCTCACAGTGTTCCATCTGAAAACATGGTTCTACGGAACCTTCAAGCTCAAATCACCTATCCAATCCATCCATTCCGTCACCAACCACCCACTCCGCACATGTGCAAACCCGCGTACGGCGTGGGCATCCAGGCCAGCTCTGGACTGGTCGCAAGCTTTGGGTGGGGGACGAAAGGCTGGAGGCCAATGGCACCTTGGAAACGCGAGCTTCGGACTGGCAACATGGGGCCCCTTATAGCCCCTTGGCCCGGCAAACAGTGAGGACCCAGATTCTGCATGCATCAGGACGCTTCCATGCCAAGAAGCGGAGTCCGGGGAGTCTTTCTTCCATCTGCTTGGATGTACACTTGCTCGGAGCTTTCTGGTCCCGAATCGTCCAAAACCGAAGACTTGCAGAATAGAAGATACAAGTAGAGGCGCACGAACAGACTTTATTTGTGAGGCATTCCCATCGAACAGACTATTCTAGTCATAGTCTTGGGGAGGGCCAGTCGATGTACTGAGCGGCCGAACCCCGCTGGTGGCTGCGTGGTGCAAGGTGCTAGCGCCAGTATCTCCACGGCAAGGCTAAGCAAAATCGGAACTCGTCTTTTCCCGTTTCTTCTCTTATTTAATGTTTGTTGTCTTTTCTTCTGTGGATTTTGAGAAAGTAGAACCATTGCGTGTTGTTTTTTTCTGTTTGCTTACTTATCCTATGCTCCTTTAGACTTTTATGGGTCTCGACCAGCCCTGAAAACAAACTTGATCAAAGCTAGGTGTAACGCCTATCAATGCATCCTTAGACCTAGCAAGCTGCCTCAACATTCTGAAATTCTGTGCCAGCAGCTGGAAACAAACAAGGGAATTGGGGGGTCAAAAAGAGCAACTTTCACAGCACCTACGACAAATATGAAAACATATGAAGCATAAACACTAGACCGACAAATTGCTGCAAAAAGCCATGACCTGATACTGCCTAGATTCTTTGGACTTGAGTGATTCACAGTCCGAAGAGGCTCGTCTACACGACGTCTACAGCTTCAGGAGGTGTCCTGACACCTTCGGGTTCACCCGGAGATCATCGGACGTCACTTGAAACGGCTTGAGCACATGCTTTTCGCGGGCCACGCCTGGACTGGCGAGCATCTTGGGCCTCACAGGTCCGTTGGACGTTGCGACCTGTGACGCTGTGTCATAAGGATAGTATCGTATAGATATTATATCCAGCAGTCACAAAGGGATGCTTAATGGAGGTTAGGGGTGGCCATTATCCACTCACTTAGGGACTAAACATTATATATTTTTTGTATTTGATGTGATGAAACTCTGTGCTAGCATGCAGGATTCTGGCCAATCTTTCGTTTATGGTAGTTTGGGATTGTGCAAGCATCTGCCACCAGGCCATTCCAGCATCACACCTAAAAGCTATAATACGAGTCAACGGGGTTATCATGGGCTATCGCACACTGTAAATTATGACGATATCACTAGTATCTCCACCCGATGAGCCGTCACATTCGCGGGAGTTCGGCGGTCAACTGTTGAGGCAGGTTCATTGACCGAGTCCTTCACCACTTCAAGTCACTTCAAAGCCGGAGGCCCTATATAAATGCTAAAGAATTCAATAGGGTTGTTGGTTGGCACTTGTAGCACTTCTTAGCAGCTTGAAGATCTGAGCTCAAGGCCTTGCTGGTGCTCTTATCTAGCTCAAAGCCTTTGTTATTGGCTGTGCGTGCTAACAATACAGTGTCATAAATAGCTTAAATTCAAGAGAACCAGCATCTGACGCGGGGCCATGCAACGCATTTCTTCTTCGCAATATGAATGCACCGACATGGATGTTTCTCCATAATCGTTCTATAGCTTGTCTATATACTCTAGATTGAAAATCATAAGTTGTGAGACTTCTCAAAAGCAAGCAGCTAAGGTGTGACAACCCAACTTTCTGCCAGAAATCCATTTTCTCCAGTGCTTTGCCCAACATCTGGCTACATGGACCACCTTGGCCAAACAACACGGCTCTGGACTTCTGGTTTGGATGTCGCCCAGCTGCCACATGCCTTGGCCCGCCATTTTCGCTCCCACTCCCCGCTTGGCGGCGAGTGGAAGCGGTGGTGAAATCCTCTGCGCCCGCCACAAGTCTCCAAGTTCACAAAAAACAAAATAGCCAGACTGGAGAAAAAAACCTTGCGTGCACAGTGCACATGTCGGATGTTTGCACATGAAACTCGTGGTGCTGACATATGGTTGGCGATGAAGTGCCATAAAACAAGCCTTCAGCATCTATGACAAACAACGAGGGGTTCACTCGCGGACGAGAGGAAACCTGCGTCCGCGACCTCCCGGTCGGGCTCTTCCGATGTCGCTCAAAGCGCGCCACAGCTGGTGACGGCGCTCCCTCGTTGGCAGAAAGGGGCTGATGTCTGGATTCCATGTATACAGCTCATCAGCTATGCCCTGGCTGCCGCACTTTCTGCAAGAAGGGGGTGGAATGTAAACGACCAAGTCTAATTTCAGGACTGTTCTGCCACGTGTGAGCTTGCTAAACAGCTTATTGAGCAGCAAGTGGGTGCCTTGTGTCTGTCCACAATATGAAGGCCAGCATGCGAGACATGAAATAACATGACAGAACTTCAGAATGGCCTTTATCCTTTGCACTTGAATGCAGCAGGAGCCCAAATAATCATGGACCTTCACTGACTGTTGATTCAACACAGTCCAGGTGGGCATTCTACTCTGAGAACTGTTTATACATCTCGACAAAGGCACCCCAGCTGTGTGTTTGGAAAAACTCCTCAAAGGAGGCGAGGCCAGCTGTCCTGAAACTAGGGCATGCAAGCCTGCAGGTTCAATGAAGCTCCATCTACCTTGCCAATGGGTGATGACCTGCCAGATTTGTCGCTGAAATCCAAAATCAGAATTCTGTTGGCATATCGGGAGGTGTGCAATCATCACCTCTCGGATCTACCACAAAATGGCCGTGGCAATGGCTCACAAAGGACGGGTCTGGTCTCATTCTTTGGATCTGCGCCGAACCAAAAAGAAACGATCCCTTACAATTCCCCCACTGCGCCTCACAGTACCTCAGGCACCCACACGTGTGGCAGTGGTGCTGGCGATCGAGTCAAGGAAGGTGATCGGTACTCGTGACACGCCCACACACTCCTGCAGCGTGGTGTCTCAAGCAGCGAAGTGCAGGGGTTGGAACTCACTTGGCGTGGGACACCTTGTTCAGGTTGGTTTGCTCGAAGTACTGTCGATGGGGGACCCCAGTGAATGACAAAGAACACATTGCATGGCACGAAGGATGGGGGAAAATCAAGTCGAAAAACACGCCGAAGGAGCGAAGCAAGCCTGCGAGAGCAGAAATAGAACGTTTGAGAAGTTTGCCTTTCCTAGGGGGATCGGCCCTGGCCCCTGAAAACAGTGTTCTCGGAGGCCTCTGATTCTATGTCGAAATAGGTTATTCTGAATCATATTGCATTCGAGCTTGTGAATCAAACTTACCCCCAGCAGTTCCGAATGCCCTGCCGCCGTATGGCCGTGTCAACATGAAGCACCTGAAAACATATTCATGTACCTGGAATTGAGATTTAATCTGCCGCTGGTCTATGGGAGACTCTGGTTTTGACTACCGTTACAAAAGGATGGCAGCATCAACTGATCAAATATGATCAAATGAACAACTGACATTGACATATCATATCCACGTACAGACTAATAAAACTAGAAGGAGGGGCATATGCCGGATGAAGAAACAATACAGCCATTGCAATTCAGGAACTGGATGGAATTGGTTGATGCAGCGAGCGTCTGGTTGCCGTTCTATCAAAGTCTAGGCCCTGAAAGGTGCCAAACAAAAGCTTCACAACATATCATCAATGGTCAAAGCAAAGTCACCTTGGAGGACTTGTAGTCATCTCTGGCATCATAGTAAATGAAAACATGGTCCTTAGATGCTGCCATCCAGGTACAAAGGACAGAAGCTGCACGTGCGCATGTGACTTCTTCCCTGAAAGCGGTGGCAATGATTCTTTCTTCAATGTGACACTGCGATTCATTGGATGTCACTGTGCGATCGGATGTTTCCGTATTGTGCTCCTCTTTTGGGGCAAAGACCTGAACCTGCTCTTCTTCGCTTCCATCCGAACACAAACGCTTCAAGAAGGCCCCAAACCCCGTCTCAAACGGCTGCCGTTTGAGAATCACCCGGTAGTACCGGGAAGGATGTGACAAGTTGTCCTCGAATCAGGTGTGAAACTGCTTCAAGTTTTGGTCCTAGGCTCTGACATACTTTGCCTGCAGCCGGGGGAAGACCAATTAAGGGAGATGTCCAGTGCCCATTGATCTACCAGTGGCCCAAGGCCCACCAAGAAAGTGCATCCCACACTCCCTTCAATGCACATTGTCACCTTGCAAAGGAAGACCATGTTCAATTCCAACTTGTTGTGCCCCCCTTTGAATCAAGGCAGGGTGTACAAAGCTGGTCAACTACTTTAATCCTCCTTCAGCCCTTGAAAGAGAAGAATCCTCCTGCGGGTCGATGGGAGCTAGGGTTTCGGGATTCAATTGAAAAGCAAACCAACCAGGACCTAAGCGACCAGGTTGAACCTGAAGAAGGAGGAATTGTGCCAAATGACCTTGACATCTCAGTGTCCATTTCTTCTCTGGTTCAGCAAGTGTTGGCTTGTAGTAGAGTCTTTTTTCGGGTCAAGGAGACCTTCCTATTACGTAGAGAAGGAAGACTTTATCACAACTCGTCCAGAAGGAGGCCTTCCTCTTCCCGCGGTGGGGCGACGCGACTCAACCCAGTGTCCGGATCAAATGAGGGGATCATTGTGTCAAAGGCATGGACATGCCTCAGATTGCATGGGTGACACCGACTCACTGCCTGAAGGGTTTGTTTCTAGAAAAAACACAGGTGTTGTAACCTTCTCTTGGTCACCTGGGTATCTCAAACTGATGAAGATTGTTGAAGGTCTATGTCAACTTTAACTAATAAGGTCTCCCTGCAATCGGCTTGTGCCGAAGGTGAGACAATACAATCATGTACCGCAATGTCATAGACTTTTCTTTATTGAACTTACCTTGAGCCTTGGGGGGCCCCAACAACTGACATGATGAACCGGGCAACTGGAACGAGCGGTTTCTACGCGCATGCTTTGGTTCAACAAGCGGTGCTACCGTCAATCCATGAATTCCCATGACAACGATGCCACTGAGGTCAAACACAGTGGAAAACGTGCGAGGTGATTGATGCAGGAAAGCAAAATTTCCTTTCGACATCTTTCGACCCATTGCTTCTTCTGAAGGTTGTGTGTAGCTTCTCGAATGGTTCTCAGTCTCGAAAAGGTGCACACCACCGGCTCATCCAAAAAGCCACCAAAACCCGGAATCACACGATCATGGGCACCGTAAACGTGACCTTCCAGCGGTCCCTGTGCTCCGTAAATCGGGCGACCAACACGTGGTCCCATCCTCCGAAAGATAACGCCCTTTGAAGGACACCAGGTGGCGCTTTCTTCCAGCTGCCAGGTTGAAGAGTGGGCGCCTCGGTAGTCTAAGACTCGGGCCAATTGTGAGTTAAAAGCCGGCAGCCTCCTATAGGCTTCTATAATAAGCAGTTTCCCAAAAGCACAGATTTAACACCAAACCTCAAAGCATCTCTTAAACGAGGCATTGCCTTGTAGGAACGCTCCATGGGTGGTCATGAACGCCCTGCCGAGTCACGATGGTTCCGTTGAAGAATACATGATGACATGATGCAACCTCATACCATTTGAATCCAGTTGATGATGATTGCCTCTGGGGCATGCCTCCCAACCCCGAAATGACTTGGGCTCACGTTTGTGGACCACAAAGATGTGGGTGTTTTTGTTGAAGCGTTCTTGGCTGCAAAGTCACATACCAAGGCTTATTGTATACTGGCACAACAAAGCACAACCATTTGCAACTTCAAAGTGTGACACACACACACACATCACACACACATGAAAAGCCTTGGTGCGTTTGCATGTAACCACAAAAGGTTCAAAATGTTGACATCCTCACCTTCTTGACGATCTTTGACCATCCCAGCGGCCAAAAAATCGGCATCAATCACCGACCAGGAGAAGCCATCGACACTCGCCATCAAGGCAATGCCTTGGGGCACCACGGGCACTCCAAACCCAAAGCTTTATGGGCCGGTCAACAACACACAGGATACCGGCCAAGAGGCGTTATATAATTCAGTTTTCTGGACCTGATTGACTTACAAATAAGTCATGTGAAATTTAGAGCACATCAGTGTGTGCTTGGGCACGCCTGACCCTATTTGACCCAGCAGGTAGCATGTAGACGATTGGCATACCTCTTCCTTGATAGTTCCTTATTAGCCCCATCTCCAAAGCACCAAAGGGAACGACAATCAACCCTACTTACTTATTGATGTTTGGATCTGGTTTGTCAAAAACAAACCTGGCTCACCCCCTAAACAATGCACTTTGCATGACCCAACAAAAAAATAACATTGGATGCCTAAAGCATGTTCATCAATCCCGTGGCTTTGGGTCCAAAACATGGATGAAACCCAAATCGACGGATCGCACTTCTGGTTCCTACCACAAAGAATGAGCCATTACTTACTTGCCAGGATCCACAGAACTAGTTGCAGGGCACATATTTTTTGTTATATAATAGGTGCAACCACTTCGGTGCAACCACTTCGGTGCCCCAGCTGCTGGAACCGATGACTCCGTTGTGGCCGCGCGTGATGCGATTCCAGAGCCCTAAGAGGCGCCGCCCTGCGAGACGCGGACGCCGGTGTTTAGAGCGGAGACGGGAGCGGTCACCGACAGAGGAGCGGCACCGACATGGACAGTGACCAAAGAAAATGGAACCCGAACCCTAAGAATGCTAAGATGTTTGGTCATCAAGTCCCAAAACATGCTAACATAGAACTCTAACATAGAGCTCTATCAATGCTAACATAGAGATCTATCAAGTCAAAGAATTAAACAAAAAGAGGACATGAGCCGACTTGCTGATCCAACTTTCAGGTGATCGGCCGTGTCTCGACACGTGGCGACACCGTGCCCCAGTCAATCGACATCTTCTTCGCTTCAAGACTCCCCGCCTATTCCAGCCTCATCATCGAACTTCAGATCATCAAAGCCCTTGATCATCTTGAAAGAACCCGCGCCCACCACCTGGGCCCACGGCTATCCCTCTCCACACATCGGAACACAACTTTTGAGGCGAGGTCTGCCTGTTTCACCGGAATTCAGCTACTGCAGCAATCACCCAGGTGCATGCTCCCATTTTTTTGTGTTTGTGATTGTGACTCAAGGCTTGAGGCAACAACATATATAAATAATGATTTATAAATTAAATGTATAGCAGCGCTATCATGAGCACGACAACTCTCATTTCTAGGGATCTATGTTGAGTGAGTTTTGTAGTGCCTGATAGAAGCGCTAGAAATATTGACCTCGCGTGGGTCGCCTCATGACCCCTTCCTATTGGTTTGGCAGGTTCCCACCATATACACACAAGACTCATGATGAAGACATCTCTGGACTCTCTCCTGGTCCTCACAATGCTTGGACCTTGCTGCAAAAACAGGAGCTGTGAGGTTCCCTGTACAGAAATCCATCTCTTAGGCACATCTGCAACATCTGAGTCCCAAATCTACAAGATCTCACTCGGTGGGTCATTGAACACCCTCCTACTTCCCACCTTCTTCCATCTTCTTCCCACTCTCTACCTTCTCCCCATATCTCCCCATCAAGGCCTCCGACTTCCCACTTTTTCCACCATGTGGACTCCCACCTGTGGACTCCCGTCAGCTGTCCCCATCATCGGCTTCTTCTCCAGCACTCGCCGGTAGGGGCCTTGCACCTCCCCAGCCGCCGCCACGCCCACATAGAGTGGGCCAGCACCCAAGTTTTTTTGAGTCTCGTCGCGACACCGAGGCCGAATAGAAAAGCAACCACCTGAGACACGTCTGAGACACATGGCGGATGGGTAAACATCAGTTGGGTTGGTTGACCTGGGGTCACTGTCAGCAAATATTTCCATGGAGTGTTCCGCCTTTCAAACCCCTCCCTAAAGCTGGAACATGAGTGGCTTGGCTACTTCTTGGAGAAAAGAACCACACGACTGGTTCTGTGAAGCTGAAAGATGCTTTGACACAGTTCTTGCACAAAAACATCCGGGAAGCCAAGTGTGCGACAAAGAACCATCCTGTCCAGCAAGAATCGCTAATCTTGTTCAAAGCCAGAAGCTCGATAGGGCTCATTTGAAGTTATTTCTTTCCAGTATATTTTCAGATCGTGTCGGGCAAGGTCCTTGTGCTCAGTCTCCGTAGTCTCCAACCACTGTGGCTGCTACAACCTTCTTCCTGATTTGGCTGCTGAACCTGCTTCGAGCTTGCACCCTTGGAAACACATGGGGCATGCCTGACAACGTTGCCCAGCCCTTGGAAGATCTCTGTGCCCTTCCCTCGTTGGAACCAAAGGAGATAGCACAAACATCAAACCAATTAAGGTGCGTAATAATCAACCTCGAAACCTCGTGACCGAGCATACGCACTGACCTGGTGGCAGAATTTTCACTGACAAACCCGACAGGTCAAACAGTTTTGGCTCACAGTTCGGCTCCACTTCGTCTCACCCCGATCATGCTGATTTCACTTCTCCAAACACCGGCCAAGGCCGCTGGTCCCGGAAGCTGCTGTAGATGACGAAGGGGTGCCCCACGCGAGCGATCTGCACCTTCTCCCACTCTAATTCGGGCTCGAGGACCTGCCCGTGTTGACGGAGATGTTGACGTACAGATTGGTAGATCTGTGCTTACAATGGACGATGTTGGATGTTGGAGGCGGGCATGTCAAGAGGCCTGTCACCAATGGCTCCTCCAGATTGCACCTTCTTGAACCTTCATGTTGGACTGTGGCCGTTTGGATTGCAGCAGCACACTGGAGCGGCGCAGGGCTATGCAGTCTCAAAGCATAACACATCCAGTGCACAAAAAAGCTCGTGACTGGACTGGTGTCAGACCTAAACATGAAATGGAGCAAATCTGCAAGGGTGCTGTTTAAGGTGAACACATGTTGGTCCACACTGCCAGGTCCAAGCAAAAGGCTGCATGGTGCTAGCTGGTTCCCATGCACCAGGCCTGGTCCCGTCGCATATAGCAAAACTTCTGAAAGAAATCTACTGTAAGAAGAGAGTCCCGAGCAGACTTCTTCACTATAAGAGCCAACATGTTGGACATTGGACACCTTTAAAATCCTCAAGATATCACCAATTACATACCGAATCTGGAAACTTCCCTGCAAAGAAAAGAATAAATGCAGGCCGGCCTCTGCTTCACTACTCCAAAGCCAATCTCCTGCGCTGAAGGCCGCGGAAGGGAGCCGAGCAGAGATGCACTTCACTTTCACGCTGTGAAAGCTGCCAGTTCGATCAGCTTGCTCATAGAAGAGGTACACGACCTCAACGATCCAGTCGTCGAATGGGCCAAAGGCAAACGCTTGAACTCTGAACTTCCCTTGCTGGTCATTGGTTCATTGATGTTGCTTGTGCCATCTTGTGCCCCACGAGTCTTTCAAGCTTTCAAAATGTGCTCCCTACGACCCCGGAGAAAAGACTAAAACCTAACACTACCCCAACTGTAGGGGTAACTACCACCAACCACAAAGAACAATACAGAAAACTATATACAACGATATAATATATATATATATAACTTATAACTATATAACCAATTCGTTGGCCTGTCAACTTTTCACTTCTGCCTTGTTGGTGGCCAACCACACCCCGGGCCCCCATGTCTAATCGTTTGCCCGGTGACGCTTCCCTCCTCTGCCCAGCACACGCAGGGCCCGCTGGCGCCCGGCGAATCCACCGTGAGCTCCACGACACGCCAATCCGAAAGGCCATTGGTGGACACGAAATGAACGATACCTCCCGCTCCGGACGTTTGCCCGTGTGGGGCAACTGGATTGGATGGGTTCGAATCCATGTGGACCATTGACGTGAATGTATGGTGAAGACTGGCCCAGTCGCATGGAGTTTACTTGAACCGCATGGTTTCACTTGGTGTGTGTGTATGTCTGGTCCATCACGGTCTATTCGTGATTCTATCTGCGTCGGAAAATTGGACAAAGTCGGTGTGCTGTGAGTTGTACACAAACCTGAGTTTGACACCAGCTTCTCTATCCACGAGAGCCCACTGTAGAGACCGGACCAATATAAACATATAGAACAACATAGAAACACCTGCAGTGATTGCTGTGGGGCAGTCTGAGTACATCACCAAGGACATGTCTCCACAATTCCTTTAACTTCCACAGTGTAGCGACGAAACAAACCAAACCCTCCAGGCTGCCTGCAGAAATGCTCACCCACAAATGCACATAGCCTTGGCAGCGGAAATCTGTCGACAACTGCGCGGGGGAACCTTGTTTTCATTGACATTGACCTCAAGCTAATAGCGATGGCCCCATATGGCCTCCAACCTAACAGGCAACGGCCTCCAACCTGGAGGCAATGGCCTCCAACCTAATAGTGCTTCAAGCCCGAATTTTCTTGTTCTCATTGACCCTTCAAGAGTCACTTGGGCAAACATTACCTTTCCTCTGACATCATGCGTGGCGGACTCGTGGACCATGGCACGGGCAAACGGTTCTATTTCCATGTTTGTGGGATAGGGTATCCCTACTGGTATCCCGGTGGGCTATGGTCGCGTCACTGTCGTTTTTTCGCGAGCCCCAATTTGCCCACGCCCCCAACACTTGTCCAAGCTGAGCCAAGAAACCATCAATTTCCAGCACTGAGGGGCTTGAAACCCAAGTTTCTCCACTCGGCGGTTGCAGCAAAGGATTGATCACAAAGTCTTGGACTGGCGAACGGCTGCTTTGTGCCTTCTGCCAGTTCAAATGCCCGCCGGGTCGCTCATCCTCAGCAACGAGTGCGATGCCGAACGTTTCGCTTCGCAGTTTCCGATGCTCCTTCACCACTCTCGGCTGGGTGCGTTCGAATCAAGAACGAGGAATGGGGGCGCTGAACTCGATTCCAACCCCAAACCTTTTTGATTTCCTCTGCTCCTCTTTTAGTCATCGCTATTATGGAAATCTTTATCAATTTTAGGAGTCAACATGTCTCTCTCTCACGCCCAGGCATCACTGGTCCAGCACCGACTCCCTCCCTTTCGACACCCAAAGGCTGGTGGGTTGGCCACCGCTGCCATCTGCTGCGTCCACGTGCTCAGCGAGAGCTGCCCATCGCACACCCGCGCGCTGCGGCGCCGTCGGCATAGGGCGCAGCCCATGGCGCTGGCGTGACTTCGGGCGCTGGTTTCGACACACCACCGACGGAAGACCGCAGAAGTGGTTTACAGGTCGGGAGTGGGGTTGAATGTATGGAATAGGGAGGCCCCCCCAAACAGGTGGTTTTTGTGTATTGGAACTTTGTGGTGCGGGGTCAGAAAGAAGAGATGATGTCTTTGGGGAAATTGAAAAGAACAACTTTTTAAGTACTGTTATGACAACCTTTTTGGCTGATGCGCCCAGCGAAAAACCAAGAGCTAGCGGATTCCTTGTAGGGAAACAACCAAAACGTATAGACCTGCAACCTGCAACCTCGTGGTTGTTTTTTTTGGGGGGGCGGTGGTTCAACATAATATATACCTTGATTTAGGTCTGTGAACCACATAAACATCGATAAACATCCGCTTTAAGAAAACAAACATGTTCGGGAAAAAATGCCTTTGGCTCACCAATAAACGCCCTTAGCTTGTATATCAACGCCCGTGGAATATCAGAAACCAGAAAAAATCAGAAAACTAGAGTCATCCGCATACTCAAAAATAAGGCTGCGACTCCAAGACGTTTTTCACGCCGCAGATCGGAAAAACACACTCTGGGGAACGGCTCTGTCACATTTCAGTCCTTTTCACGAGCCAAACTGCCTGAGGATACATTGGCTCAATTCGCTCCGTGTGCAGGTGCTCCAACGTGCCGGAAACACCTTCTGAACGCTTCAATGCGACACCGATCAGCCCGGGGCTCTATCCCTACCTGAAATTATCCCGGCAAGAGACCCCAAACAGTGTGTGTGAGGTCGATAAGCAGAAAGTCTAGAGATCTAGACGCATTGGGGTCCAGAGAGGTGATGGTATGAAGGTGGGGATCGTGGTGACGGTGGCGGTGGTGGTGAGTGAGTGAGTGTGAGTGGGAGTGGGAGTGTGAGTGAGAGTGAGTGTGAGTGCGGGTGTGAGTGTGTGTGTGAGTGTGGAGTGTGGATGTGAATGTCAGTGTGAGTGAAGAGTGAGTGTGAGTGTGAGCGTGTGTGAGTGAGTGAGAGTGAGGGTGAGGGTGAGAATGAAAGAGTGAAAGAGTGAGCATCTGAGAGCACAAAGTGCTGCGCCTGCGCCGAAATCTGCACGTCGAGGTTCACCAAAAGCTGCGCCTGCCACGAAATCTGCAAAAACAGCTCCGATCCCTTGCGCCTGTCACGAAAAAGCCGACTTTGGAGCACCAAAACGCGAGGTTTCCCTTGCGCCTGCCACAAAAAGTCACCACCATATGTGAAAATGCGGACGGCACCACAACGAGAGCGCAGTCGCTAGAAGCACCCGCCGCGGGCAGGCAGATTTTGCGAGCCTGCGCAGTCGAAATGCACTTCGAGGATTCCTAGAGGCATGAATGTACTGTAAATAGGAGCGAATTAGCCGCACACGCCCGCGCGGCACACCGATCTAAGCACAGCTGCTTTACACCTACCGTAAGAACCCCTTGGTGTGTCCACACTGTTTGGGGAAAAACACAAGTTGCAAAGACGAGCCGTTCAGTGTTCAAACCCAAAGTGTTGCCTCATCTCCTCGCTGCCGGCCATCACTGCCAATACAGCGCACATGAACCTGGAACTTGGAACTCGGCAACGGGTCCAACACAGAAACAAAACCCAAAAGCTCCATGTATGCAAGTATGGCCCACATTGGTGGTTTTGGACGGTAAATCTAAATGCCAGATTTGCACCACAATGGAGCGTTTGGGAACCTCATATAGGTGGCGTGGTTGCTGTGTTTCGATTGGGGCATCCTTCCTTTGACCACGGTGTTTGCATGCTGCGACAGGCCGGTCAAGGGCTCGCAAAGGAAGGGTGCCCCGATGAAACACCTTCGCACCCTGAGCGGCTCCCAAAAACAGTGCGATTCAGCGCAGAAAGAACTCGACATCAAACGTTCATTGAAATGGAAATCTATTTGCCTAGCGGATGTTTGATCCATGGAAACCCATCTCGGAAGTTCGGTCACATTGGGTGTTCAAGATTCATTGTGCAAATGAAGGTCTGTTCACACCAAAGACTGGTAGCAAATGAAGTTGATCTCTAATTGCGTGACATTATTTGCACTGCATGTCATGTCATGTCATGTCATTCATTCATTCATTCATAAATTCCTGAAATTCATTGTTCCTGCAGCTCGGCAAAAACTATACAATCTAGGATGACTTTGCGAGAGATCTTAAAGCAATCAGGACCCTCCAAAAGCACCCTGTCACTCACCCTGTCCTAATTACTTGTGCTACCTTCATCATAAGACTTCCGATCACAAACACACATCCAATGTCCTCTAAATGTCTGTTCAAAGGAGGATTGGTGGCTACAAGTGCTCTCACGCCATAGCCTTATATGGCTTTTGGTCAAGACCGGGGCACCCTGGTTGAGAACCAAGAATGAAACCTGGTTTGGGGCTCCGGGTTTTGACCCACGGCCACTCCCACGGCCATATCCATTGCCTAGATAGAATGCACATGAAAGGCGTTCTCCTAGGATCTATTCATAGCACCCATCCATGGTTCTCACCCTCGCAGCTAAGCCCTCTGTGACACAGGTAAAAAGCTATGCGTTTCCCTCCAGCGGCCCAGGCCCCTCAAGGCCCTGACAGGGACAAAATCAGTCCACAAAGGAATTCAAGCAAATGGTTTGCATCGGGATCTTCCCAGGTTGACACAGGTTCCCTGAGCGACGGAAGAAGACCCGAGGAAACCCAAGAACTTTTTTGGCACGAGACCACATTTGGAGCAACGGTTCCACTACCCAATGGAGGCCAAGCTAGTTCTGGGTAAAGCAGGTAACATCAAGTCCACACCTTGACATCCTGTGCCAAAATGAGCTAGCTGGCAAGGAATGAGCCAACTTCTTCATGATACAACAAGCTCCAAATGGTTGATTGCTAGCCACTCAAACACTGTGTCAATCCCAATATGTTGCATCAGTTTACAATGCCATAAGTGGTTTCATCACAAGGTAATTCCTACGGTACAAGGGCACCCTCAAATAAGAACCGCAAGAACCCCATCTTGCAAATCATAAAAAAGACTCAAGGGCACCTGGCACCACATGTCAAGGTGGGTGAGAACTGACTGAGGGCCGTCCACATGGATGGCCTTGTTGCTTCAAATGTTTGATGGCAAATGTACAGTAAACATAGGATGTTTCCGATCCTTGGCTTTGGAGGTGTTGTGGATAAGCTATAATTTGTGTAAAGGGCCACAAGGATTTGCCGCTTGACTCAGAAAAGAAATAGCAAGAAACACCCGAAGCAAAAAAAGCCCTTGTCTGGCAGCGGAGCGTGTTTGTCCCTTGTTGCACTGGTGGGGGTATGTTACGTGCGGCCAAAGGAACAAGCTGTATAACAATTTATGGATCGATTCCACCAAAAAGAAGCTCGATAATTTGAGATGAAACAAGGCCCTCACCTTTGAGAGTTCCCCGCAATTCAATCAATCAAACATCAAACCAACATGTCACCAGTCAAAACCCCCATCTAAGTGTGGCACTCACCCAGCATCGCAAGTTTCTCCTGAAGGTGTGTGCCACGAATGGTACAGTAAGCTGATGACCTTCTGAAACGGCACAGTTTGGCCAACAGAATTGATGACAACATCTTCTTAGCCAGGAGACATGATCACAGTCTCCAAGAAAAATCGCTCCTGGTGGACCTTGAAACCTGTCCTCTTTTCCGAGAAACTGCCGAACAAGCGGTGTCTTTCAGCATCTCACCATATCTCACCCAACAATGTATTTAAATGTTCTGTGGGGACGCATGTCTGCTTAAAGAAACAATCTCAGGTTGTGAGGATCACGCATGTATCACGTCCTTGTCGAGGATGGTCTTGATGAAAAAGCCGGCCATTACATGCCGGCCCTGCCGACACAATGCAAAGCTGATGCATCGCACAATAGTGGCATGTCATGGCATCAAGAACCTTGGGAGTCAACATATGCAGTGGGTAGGTGACCACTCAAGGAAAACTACTATTCTGCGATAATAACCCTCAAATGTCCAAACAACTCCAAATGACTGGAGTCACAGAGTCCTTCCATGCATGTGATCAGTGATGAGCCATCTTCCAGCGCTTGAAGATCAAAAGGAGTGTCACTGACTTGACTGGGGTGTGGTCGAGTGTGATCTGAGTCAAAAAATTGGCTCCGGTGCCTGGATCGGCGGCAAGGTCGGTTGTGCCTCCTCTCGTGCCAACGGTTGGAGTTGGGATGGCTGCAACTGCCATGAGGTGTCTTTCAGCTGGGAGTGCATGTCGAAAGCCCAACGCTCCTAGGAATACATCAACATGCTCCGGGCTCCGTGGCTCCGTAGACTTCTAGTGATCATGAGTCTGCAAGCCATCAAACCCTCTCGCCCAACACACCCTACCGAACTAGCTCCCCACTAATTACTCGTCCGCTCCGCACCCCTTGCGGGGCTGCCGCGTGAAAAATGACCGGCTCCGGGTGGCTTCTCCTTGGGCGCTTTGAGGTCAAGCTCTCGGACATCTTTGTTCCGGCCTAGAGGGTCTGGACAGCCCATGTGGGCCGGCCACGCGTGGTCGGCCATGCGAATCGCGTGCCTCTATAGCAAGCAATTGATGTTTGGAGCTTCATGGAGCATGCTGGGCTTGGAATGCTGGTGTGGATTTGGTGAGAATGGAAAGTGAGCCGGAACAAAATACATTGCATACCCCAAACCCATAAGTACGGTAGTCTAATCTTTGTGCTTCATGGCCAGCGTAATTAATGCCAGCGTATAATATGTATATATATATATATGTGTGTGTGTGTGTTTCATTAAATTTTGGGTAGGTGAAATGTCGTCAGGTCAACTTCATGAGGTAGTTCTTTCCCAAACACATCCATGTATGATGGATAGAACATCAAGAGCCGCATTGACGACATTGACATCGGGAAACCCTTCCAACGTAGGCCAAATACAGCCATACATTGTGGGATATTGAGGTATGGGAATGCAAATGCCCCTTCCACTTGCGCAATTTCTGCGGCAAACACTCGGTGAAAAAACACCGGGCTTCTCGCCCAGTTCCAGGTGAGTTGACTGCAGTAAGGCGGCGGCCTGGCACACTCGAGCATGTTGGCTCAAAGCTGCCTCTCCATTCATCGTGTGAACAAACAGTTGAACATCGGCACTGCGCTAGCGAGGACTTGTGTGGAACTTGTGAGGAAGAACCGTCGGGACCAGCAGATCTCCCATCGGGACCAGGGTGGGTCTCGGCTTTTGGGTTTTTGGGGGGCTGCGGCGGGAAAGGAGGACTTGACGTGACCTGCCTCATTCTCCAAGATGGGTGCTAGAAGTGTGAAACGCTGCTCACCATTGGTCATTCCAATCCCCTCCTGTGTTCACCCGAACGCTGGGTGGTCGAACTGCTGCCGGCCACAACATGAGTGGCCCCAAGGGTGAACGAAAGCCGCGGACCCGGTGACACGAGCGATGACGTGATAGCCGACGGCTTGTGGATGAAACCATGCCGGAGAGCGGCAAGGAGAGAATCATATGTGAGCAAAGGATAGCAAAAGCGCCTCCAGTTAGATACTTTTCGTGATGGATCTGGTGTCAATAACCTCGCTCACTAGTTGAACACTGTTGAAAGGACTTGTGCGTTTTCACTACAAAAACACGAGCATCCCTAACAAGACTCAGACCTTGCCTCCAAAAGCACCAAACCATGTGTCAACACATGGCGCGCCCCCAACGATCTGAGCGCGGAGATCCGCCTCCGCCGGCCGCCGCGCAGCCTCTGAGAGGCACAGAAGGGCTGCCTCGCTCAGCATGGGATCTTCACCATGCGGCTGTGGTACCAAAGCTCACAAAAAATATTTCACCATGCAAGGAGGTGTTGATGCACAGAAAGATCACCCTGATGTTAGATCACTGCTGATCACTGATGTTGATGTTAGATCACTTATGCTCTTCATCATTAGTACAGAAAGGTAGCACGGCCTAGCCACAAAGGTGTCGTAAAACATCATGTTGACCTTCCCTGGTAGGCACATGTTGGCACCATTCTCTTCAGTAAAACTCGGATCCAATTAAGTGTCTTTGTGGATCATTCGATCATCTGGGATCGGTCTTTAGAACAGGGAACCTGTCAAATGGCATTCAAGTGGATGAAACACCGATCAAACGCCATTGGTTCAAAGGTTTCCTTCCAACACACACCCGGCTCCTGAAGAACCATGACCGGTCGGGCTCCCCGGCAGGGAAAAGAAAGGCCAGCATGGGAGCAAGGCCCTCAATGTAGCAAGAAGTGTGAGGTCGGGCGGCTGCAAATGTGAACACCCACACCCTGAGATCAACTGACAGAAACAGCATGTAGATAGGTTGAAATTCATTTCTGACAATGTTGACAATGTACTGCAAAAGGACACAACTAAATGCTACCTCAAAGGTTCGACGTGCTTGCCTGAACTGAAGAATTGGGTCTAATTTTATACGTTAAGTCTAAGGCCAAAAAAAGTTATAGCATGATGGCAAAACGTCATTGCAGAAAAAGTGCTCTTGTGAAATTGACTGCCAGGGCATGTTATATACCATGGCCTAGAGACCTATAGTCTATAGTAATGACCATGGCTGGTCTTGATCCACACCCGCTCGAGCAGGTGCTGCTGTGAATTTCCTTTAGGTGGGCGTGCCTTTGCAGGCGGCGGCCAGAACAAGCTCCACGGCTTTTGGTACTGCAGTGGAGGGCCACTCGCCAGTCCGAACGGTGATAGGTGATAGATTGCACTAGGTAGCTTTCCCAAAACGGCACAAATACAGTGGAAAGGGTACCATTTCTGAAGATAGAAAGCAACACAGCTAAGAACATAAAGTAGTACCACATAGTACCACTCAATATTGTTTGAGCATGTTTGAGCATTAACAACGACGCCGTGAAATGGTCCCTTCAAAACCCTCGAGACGGCGTTGTCCGAGAGATGGTGCAACTCGCTCGGTGGGGCCCCCGGCGGCTCGGAAGATCGAAAGGTGGAACGGGTAAGGTCTTCGCTACTGGATAAGGTCTCACCTCCAGCGGGTCCCAAGGCGGCTGTGAATTGGTTGCCAAAGTGGAAGTCTCCCAAAGGCACTTCTTTGAGTTGCCCTGGTGAAGTAGGAGATATGCATGGGGGGAGGCCAAGTAGATGACAAAGGCATATATATATATATCTCTCTCTCTCTCTCTCCAGCATTCTAGTTCCATTCTAGTTCTATGCTTTGGACCAGCTGTTGGGGGGTCGTGTCATCGTGTGTCATCTGAGTGCAGTGTTCTATTCGCCCGTAGAATTATTTGCAGGCCTGCCTGGCTTTCAGTTCCGCTTGGGTAAGGAAGGAGTACAGCAAATACACCACATACGCGGATGGCAATGATTTCGGAGCAAAAGGCGGGGTCAGATCTGGAACTGTATGTCAAATATGCTCCTCTCGGAGCTCTTAAGCCTCCAGCCCCAACCAAAAAGCATTTGTTTGCACCTACCTAGAGTCTAGAGTGACAGAAGGGGGGGGGCCTGGCGCCTGAGACTTTACAGGCTGCAAATAAGATCTGGAGGCAAAATTCATTTCCTACTGTAGAAATGATGACAACAACCAATGGGAGGACCATTTGAGATAGCTTCAGCCTTTGCAGAATAAACCAAAACTTGATGCACTTGGTCCAGGTCTGGCTCGACAGTCTTTGCAGTGTCGTTTGTGTTGGGAAAAGACCTTGCGCACTCTGTAAAGGTCTATATGACTCTATAGTCTCGAGTTGTTTCAAAATGTGATTCGTAACAGGTTCCCTTTGAAGGGCCTTCTCCTTTGTAGGCACGTATGTTCCTTGATAAGCTTACTTCCTGATGCAGGCTTTTCATGTCAGTAAAGGGTTTACCCTTAAAAATTGCTTTCAGCCTCTTTTTGAACAGTTGATAGTTTGAGGATGTTTGAGGGTTTTATGTTGTAGATGCAGAAGGGCTTGAGGGTTTGATGTTGAAGTTTCAAGTGTCAAATGTTTGTAATTGACTCTAGAATGTGTGTTGACAAAAACAATGTATTCTGTAGCAGTTGAGGTTGTATACAACTGAAAAGGCTCCTTTGCAAGGGTGCCATACTATACCAAAACACTATGATTAGGTCAAATGTATGTCGCAGATTTGAAAGGTCTGTTTCTGATGATTGGAACAGATTCTTTCAGGGAGAGTTTAGCCGCCCATATGTGGGCGCGCACTTTCACTTGCAGGTGTTCTCTTCTATCTATTGATGCCATGCCCTAATACAAAAAAGGCATCAAACAACGGCTCCGATCATCTGACACTTTGATGTCAAACATCTTCCTGCATTGGGCTGCCAATGCTGCCTGATTATACTACTTCTATGTACAACATGTTCCACGCTCCTGGGATGCAAAGACATGCACTTCTTAGAAACATTGTGTGTTACATCGTCGTGCTTCTGGCACAAAAAAAGAAACTCACCCAGTCTAGCCTGAACAACCTCTTACACACGATAAATCACGATAAGACAAGTCACGTTTTGTATGTGCCTTTCTTAAATAAGAGTCCTTCTGCAAAAAAGACGGCCTTGCAAATTAATAGAGGAAACACATACTGTAACTAAAAGGGTGAAGCTGTCGCAAAGGATGAAGTCTTTTCCGGCAAACGTTGTCTTTTGAAAATGGAAAGCCTCTGTAAATGATGGATGTAATGCAAGATGGGGCTCGTGCAAAGGAGTGCATGCTCATGAATTATAACACTGTTCCAACATGCGACATCATGCATCATTCATTGATACCCGAATTTTTGCAGACCCATTTACAAAGGTCAACTCAGGCTAGTCAACCACTGACTGATGGGAATAGTTTGCCAAAGAGCCACTGAGTGGTGGGAGAGGTCCAGTTTCCTTCCTCTCACGCCGCCCAGCTCGGTTGGGCCCACGGACGCTGTGCGTGCGCACAGCGGAACGGGCCGTGCAGAACGGCGGACTACGAGCCAGGTTTGAGCGCGGTCCATGCGGTCTGGGAGAGCACTGGCAGGTCGAACGAAGACGAGAAGACCAGGTTTTGGTAGGCGAGATCCAGGCTACTCCCGCCAGGTGTGGTTCCCAAGTGCATCGAACATGTCAAGTGAAGTTAACAAAATAAGAATACAGTAAAACAATGTAAAACACCTCGATCATGATTCATCACCGCATCCTGTGAGGCGATCCTCCAAGGGAGTTGAAACTGCTCGAGTCCTCATCGTTCCTCTGCTTTCGAATGGTCCTAAATGACTCATTTCCCTCTGATTGGTCCATTGGGAACCCGTGTCAGGACACCCACGGCCATCATTCTCATGCTTCAAGTTAGACCAAACCACCTCTCTAAGACACCTATCCCGAGATCACCATGACATACCATGATCCATGGTAATCTAAGCTCCTGAAATAAAAAATAGAAAGTCCCTAGTGCCACTGGTCTTCACAGATCTTCTTCGATGAATCATCGCCCATTCTCCTCTCACAAAATGAGCCTATCTTGGACCTTCCTCAAGCGCCACACTGGGGGAGGCCATGGCAGCACCAACCTCAGTCGTGCTCAAGACTCCGAGGACCTGTTGAGTTGAGCTTGGTATCTTAGGTGGTTGGAGGTGGGTTTAGCATGGGCACATTCACCTGCCAGGCATGGTCAGACGGTCGGACGTTGTGATAGTCTATGTCGTTCTCCTCATGTCACATCTCACATAAAGAAAGTGCTCTACACATGCCCGGAGATCAATAGGATGGAACATCCAAGTAAGAATCCCGAACATGCACAGAACGGAATTGATCTGCAAAAATGCATCGCCCGGAGGCGTGAGCTGGGACCCGAAGGCATCTTTCTGATGTGGAGGCAAAAAAGAAAAAACACCAACGATGTCAGCAAGTGGTCCGGTTCCCCAGTTGTTCTGGGCGCTGATTGATGTCCGAACATATATAAAACTATATAGTCTGTCCGGGATATTAATCAGGGTCCCAAGGACAGTTTAAGGGGCGGAAAAGCTCTCTTTCAGCCAGCAACGGTTTTTCTGCATTGGCGAGTGTGCCGTCGGCACCCTAGCTCGACATCCGGCGCCATCGGCGGCAAAGGGGACGGCCCGGGGAAGGCGCGTGGAAACGCTCGTCGAGGATTGGCTGGTCCGGGCCAGGTTTGAGGCAGCGCTGCCCACCAAAACTGGGACATGAGGGATTTGTTAAAGGTTCATAGCAATGTGCCAAACCCCAACAGTGAACAATACCATTGCCATCCACTGCTCATCTGGCTTGGGCATGGCAAAGGCAGGCTCTTTTCAGAAGTTGATTGTGACTGATTCTATGTATATATATATATACAAGTATATACATATCATTGTATTGTATTGTAATGATAATCCCTCACACCAGTGAAATTCAGCATGCAACGGATTGGATGTCAGGTGCTCGCCAAGAGCAATTGATTGATTCTTTCCTCCGCAAACTGCTTTTTCACGGATACCTTTTAAGCCGACATAGGTCTCAACAGCTAGACCCTCTGGCCCAAACTCTGTTTGATGGATGCTGCGCAAACCAATCTCAAAGAAAAAGGATGTTCTTCGGCAAAAGTGGTTGCTCATGACACTGGGTACAGCACAACACCTCGGGCGCCCTGTACACTCATGAGAGTGAAGAGGACAGAACCGGCAACGAGGAAGCCGTCCCGCCACCCCATCGCCGTGCAAGGCTAAGGCGGCTAAGGCCGAGGCCTTTGGGGATATCAAACAATGCGCCCAGCTTGTGGGTTCTTATATGTTCTTACCTTATGCCACTAAAGTATAGTAAAAAGTCATAACATGTCACACCTACATTAAACAAGGCTACTGCTGCCTGCCTCACGTGGCTGCAAACTGACACCCGCACCAACGCTGTAACACAAGTGAACGGGGTCAGGCTGGCCAAGGGTCCCAACCGTCGTACGGCCAAAAGCCTTGTATCCTTGCACCCAAAATTGCAGGCGCATTCCTGACATGTTTTGTGCCATCCTTGGCGGAGTGAAAGGCCCCTTTTTCATTGTCAAAAAAACACATCGAGGGCGTGGTCAATGGTCACAAATCCTAACAATTGCATGACATGAACAGGCTGCATGACCTCCCCCCCTTCCATGTTGAAAGCATCCTGACAAGTGGAGTGGCTTGGACTTTGCTGGCTTTTTGCTCAGCACCAAGGGATTGTTTCCACACTCCCCTTGCGAAAAAATATTGCCACGATGGATGGCTGAAGCAAGGTCTCGCAGTCTCAAAAACATCTTCCAACATCCATCGTGAAGAACCTGTGGGCATCTCCTCCCCGCCGTCCCCTAAAAGTATTCATTCTTCATCTGGTTCCTCCAGTTCGGTGGGACATGTCTCATCCCATTGTGCTGGGACACACTACCCAAAGCCGGGTCCCGGGTCAAAAGTGCTGCCGGTCTCGTGTCCCATCCTCGACACGACCAGTTGACATCCAAGTCAATCTAAGTCTAAAGGTGTGATGGGCAGTAGGGGAGGAGCATTTCTCCGTAGTAGCGTTCTTGTTACTACTAGTAAGGCACTTGTTACTAGTAGCGATGCACTTGTTACTAATAGCTTCTTGTTCCTAGTCTAAAGGTGTGATGGGCTAGCCATCTACTTTGCCGTCCAACTAGAGAGTTAGAGAGGCATGCCCCCCTACATAAGGGTCGTGGAACGGGGGAACCCGCTGAAGAGGAACAATCCAACTACAACGCGTGGTGAATAACAAACATGTCTGCAGGTGATGGCTTCCCCTTGCATTGAGTAATATTGATCTCCTGTGGGACTCGCTAAAGCACATCTCGCTTTGAGGTTTTGAACTCCTTGTTTCTGCAACAAGCGGAATGAGTGATGCCTGATTCTGAGTTGTCCAAGGCACAATCCCCATCTGAACTCATCCATCCACACCTGTAACATGCATGCCTCACCTATTAGCAGTGCAACTCTGGGGGCCAACATAAATCCTAAGTGGATCCAGTGCAAAGCAAGTGATTGGAGAAATCTGTCTCTGGCGTTTAATTTATAGGTAATCATTATAGTATATAGGTGTTGCCCTATGGGATTGCCACCAACAGTGACCAACACAATGCCACCGGACACGTCCAGCACCGGCAAGTGTCCTAAGTTCATTTGTGTTTGGCATTCTGCAATTTTTCAACTTTAAACGACTCTGATGATCCAACAGGCATGCTGTTGTATGACCAAAGTGCTTCCACACCCCTCTGCATGAATTTATTGCATTTGTTGCTTTTACAAAGCAGCCGTTGTCTACAGTGCCACCATGTGCCACCTGAACACCTCGAACATCCAACGATCAAACATGCTTATTGTCTCTATGTATGTACCCTCTATTTCACAAAATGTGCCTTGCTTCATCCATGATCGAATCCTAGGCAAATTCAGCTCTGTATGCGCAGCGGTCATTGGCAACCTCCCCGCTCTTCGAAAGCCAGTGCTTTAGTGTGCCTGATGGACAAACTGCTGATAAATGCAACTATATGTGAGGCACACAATTGTTTCTTTAGAGATGTGGGGATGGGCTTGACGCAAAATAGAAACTTCATCTCGCAGGTATATCAACGATGACAGGTAGGTTAAAGACCCAATCAATGAAGGCCTTCTGGAGCTCTCAGCCTCTGCGTGACTGAGATCGGGGGGGGCCATGCACGATCCGCCACTTCCCAAAGCTGTTTCTTTCAGCCTTAGGACATCGTCGACGCATCTTTGCCGCATCTTTGGCAGCATCCTCACTCTAGTTTGTCTCAGCTTTTCTGAGTTAAGGTATAAACAGCAGAAGAGCTCCAAGCTGTCTCTTCCGCCAAGAGAGATTCTAAAGGCACGTTTCCTAACCGACTCTCATTGTGCCATGATTCTGTTGTGTGTGTTTGCCCCTCGTCCTCATGCTACATAACATGTACCTGATTAGTAGTATACCTCTGAACATTTAGGTGAGTCACTTCTCCTTATAGCTCATTATCACCACAGACCAAACCCTCTACTTGTCCTCAAGACTCGGTGTGGGCTGCATGTCCGCCGCACTGATTGCCTTGGGGGCAAGCTGGAGAAAACTTGCAGTATGGAAGCTTGTTTCTAGCATACTGCATTGTCAATGCCACATGCACTTGCTGTAGATGTACTCCTTCCAACCGTCCACCCAGAAAAATCAGAGGCAATGCTTCAAGGACAATGAATACATATGAATACGTTTTCCAAGTCTGGTGTGTTGGCGTTTAGGGCGATTGGTGCGCAACCCCTGCTTGCACTTGTTCCACAAGAGTTCAACACAAAGGATATCAAAGACCTACAGTGAATGTGTTGGCTTGTGCTCGCACCATCATGTAAAGGGGGGCAAAACATATGTAACGGGAAACGGGCACATGCCTATGTATATATATATATAGGATTATATAGGCATTCAGAGAGCTTTTATGTTCCATGTTTAATGAACTGATATGCCGATAATCACAGAGCTCCTCCCTTTCTAGACATCCACATACCCCGTAGAATACAAGATAAACAAAAGGTTGTCAAGCATCTGCACCAGAAAAAATAAAAACCTGGACAACAAAACGATCTATAATATAGTCCGAACTAAATCAACTCCACCTGTGATTTTGTAAATGCATCCCACTTTGGGATTCCTCTGGGTCCGGAGCCCAGTCTTTCCCGGTCCAAGGTGCAGTGAGGCCGCCTGCCGGAACTCCTGGAGACAAAAGGACAAGGGTACATTTAATCTGGCAAAAACGAATGCATCGGTGTTCTGTGTGGCTTCTCTTGGGACAAACATGCATTCTCGGCATTCAACTTCGAGTCGACGGGTGGTTCTCTCTGGAGAACCAATGCATCGGTGGCGTGTGGGAGAGGACTTCCATGAAAGGTGAGAGTCTGACGAACCATCGATGCTCGTACGGCTTCTACTACTGGTTTCATTGAGTGCCCCAAGCCGCTTATGGAAGTGCAGCAAGTGAAGCATTGGGGCTCGGTCCGGGACAGTGTCTTTGGCACCTGGACGGTGTGAAATTGAGTGTCTAGGTCATAAACGATGCATGTTTAGACCCAATCATCGACACCCTATGACAAGCTCTCGATCATTGTCTATCATATGTAGTCTATAACTGTACATAAAATAGATATCCTTAGGGGCTCCTGGCATCGCTACTAGTAACGAGGGCATTACTCGGAGCAAATAGCTACTAGGATGTTGGTGACCCGAAGGACGCCCGGTCCTCCTTCGAGGACTCGGCCACCAGGCCCAAGCACCACCTCCCGAACGCAGGTCCTGGCAACGCGCATAAGGAACCGTACTGAAGGTAGATGCTAGAATAATAGTTTATATGTTTGTATTCAATCATTAAAGCCAAAATCCAATGAGATAGAAAACATATATATAAAAGTGCAAGATGTGTATAATCTAGCCGACGACTCAAACCAGCCCAGTGAAGCTATAGAAACCACCCAAACGACCAACACCAGGTCCTTCCATCCCAGGAGCCCAAGTCACAGTAGCGGCCGGGAGGCAGCTGTGTGGCTAAACCGCTCAGCTGCCAGCGACCGGCACCTCTGCCGTAAGAGGTGCGGGACAGTGGACGAATGGCCCCGATAGGATGAGTTTGTGCCTCTGAGATGATCATGTAGTGCCCCATGTTCCATGTGAATGACGAGATGATCTTCTGTGTGCCAAGTGTATCACTTTGATGATCTTCTGTGTGTCTACACCCGGGCAACGGGCACTACTGGCTGCCACCGAGGGTTTGCTATGACATGTTCCATATGGAAATTGTGTTCTTTCCTCCCGGCTGTCCTCTACTGTAGTTATAAACGGTTCTGTTTGCCAAACCCCAGTTCATAATGCTGTACATACATTCGTGAAAACCTGCGAAAAGCATTCGATGATAGAAATTGAACTGCCATGGCCCAGCCTCGTGCAATGGCCACAAAACAGCTGCCGCCCAGGCGGAAAGCCACGTGCCCAGGCGAAAGCAGGGTCCCGCCGTGGCCTGAAGCAGTTTTCACGTGGGATCTCAGCCCAGCAGGATTTTGACATTTTCTGCATGGGACATTATCAAGAAAACCTTCAAACGCATTCAGTGACAATCGTTCCCTCCCTTGTGAATTTGGTAAGTGTGAAGAACCTTAAATAAATCAGGGGGCTCCCACAACAAAGCGTGATCTCTTCAGGTCTCTTCAATCTGTCTGGCTCTACACAACGCGCACCCAGGAAAAGACATCGTTTGGACACTTTTGGAGACTACCACCTGGACCTGCATGCCCCCACCTGAGTGCCAGGACTCAGTCATGGGCTGTCGACAGCTGCGGCGAAAGCGGATAAGGCCAGCCACGCCTTGCCACCTGGTCCGTGAGTGATAGGTTTTCATCAAGATCATTTGCAGGGACTTAGAGGTCAAATTGAAGAGCATGTTGATAGACTAACGTCATAGTCTGATTATCACTCGTGGACATTGGCCTCTTCACGATAATCGCAGCAGCTTGTGACTATCAGAATCACCTCCCCAAGTAGTCGCCGGGGGCAACCTTTGTTCACATGTGGGACTGCTATCCGTCCGCAAGCTGCCATCTGGAGCATGCTACATCACAAATCTTGCCCGGAGGTGTGCGGGCGGAAGTCTGAATCCTCTGCATCATCCACCCTTCCAAGCTCCAAGCAATGAACTCATTCTCCGCCCCTGACTCCAGAATCCAGCACATGCAGTGCTGCGTCGGCTGCAAAAGAATGTCTTCCTCAAGGTGCCGAAGTCGTGTGCCATGCGAACCGCCTTTCATCGGAGTCTCACCAAAGCGGATCCCTCATCAAGCTCGCTGCTCATTGGCTTGTGCTGGGATCCTCCTTGAAGAAAATTGAGCAACAAAATCAGAACTCCACAATGGCAAGAAAGCAAAGAAGTTAAAAACTATCATGGTTGTTGAAAGTTGATGGTTGAGCAAACTGTAGGAAGGCTAAAAACATCCTTTGGGAGAAAATGCGCATCATGCTATACATATATTACATCATAAGTGATATGCACGCTGCATGCTGAGTCATGCTGCAGGATTGTTCTCAAATCCGTGCTTGTTTTTTTGTGATTCTTTCTCACTTCGAGCTGTTGAGTCTGGGAAAAGTGCATGCTAGTGCTTCGGCCCAACAACTTCATGCTGGGAAAGCCATGTCTTGAGGCCTGAAGATCCTAAGGATTCACGGACCTTCCTGCTTCTTCTCCTTAGAAGCATCCATAAATCTGTGTTTTGTATCAATCTATCATTCTGCAAGCCCGTCTGGTACGTCCATTTCTGCGCCTGTGTTCGCAAACCCAGCGCCGGTCTTCCACGTCACCTTCCGCCAAGGGTGAGGCGCCTGGGGTCGCCATACCTGGACGGTTCGCGGAAGCGAAGTAGGCACCAGCTGCTGCAGGGCCGCTAGTAGCGCCGGTGGAAGGGACGGCCGATCCTAACTAGGAACGTCCTGTTTTTGCGGTTCCTGACGAAGACCTTGGACGAAGACCTTGGAGGTTGTTGGTCCAAATGATTTGACATGATTCAATTATCAAGGTGGGCTAGTTAGAATCCTACTGAGTTAGAACTTCATAGAAAGAAAATACATGAATTGTAATGAACATACCCAAACCTGATAAACATTGATACACATCCGAATCCCAGGTAGATTCATCTTTTGATTCATGTCGGTTCTTCTGCTGTTGCCTCTCTCACCAGTCGGTCACCGGTGGGCAAACCTTCTCCGTGGCCGGTCCCCGGTGTTTCCTCGTCAAGTCACAGCCATCTTGATGAGGAGACGTAGCAACGCAACGGGCAGCCCCACCTAGCGTTCATGTGGGACAAACGGTCGCTGGCTTGACTTGGCGTCAACATCTTTCACGCCAACAAAACATTAGGGTTCACTACCAGTCCTCCCAAACAGGACATTCGACTTCCTTTGCGTTGATCCTGTTTTTTCTCCTTCATTACAGCGGCCTGGCTCGCAGCCGGGGGGTCCGTCATCGATCTGTCGCCAGGCGTAGCCGCCCCAAAGCAGCACGGTGATCGGGAAGGGCGAGGCTAACCTCGGAGCGACCAAAGTCAGGACGAGTCTCAGGCCTGAGCCGATCTGGTTGAAGTCTGATGCACTACGCTACGATGGACTCCATGCAGTTCCAGCCGTTCTGAACATGTTTGCCATGAAACTGGCAGGTCAAACAACACCCAGTTTGAAAAGGGACGCTGCTAACATCTGCACATACCAAGGAACATGAACAGCTGCTGCTGGTGGAAGGCCAAACCATTCCTCAGGGCGGTTTGATTGGCAGTTAGTCGAGAGGCTACGTGTTGGTGAATGTCCTGCTTCGTCCTGCTGCGATAGAAACCCGCTCAGATCTACATAAAACAAGCCAACTCCATCAAACTCCCCAACACAAAAGGCCTTCAACACGAATCTGGAGTCCAGGTCATTTTGGTCCCATCCGCCTCAAACGACCCAGAACATAGTTTCTTGATGTGTCTTCACATGGTGTTTCTTTCTACGAAGTTCGGAATGGCGCAATTCAAGAATCTCCTCGTCAACTCTATGGTTCCAAGTCGCTTGAAGGTTGGCACGGCCGGATCAGCCTCGGCATTGGACCCTTGATGATCGTCTCTCGACGAGCGGCCTGAGCTCCTTACGAGCATCCAGTGATTTGGACATCACCTCTGCAAACCAGGCCCCCCAAACGCGAACCCCGGTGGATGAAACATGATGAACCCCTTCTTCAGTGGATCGATGGAAGGGTGTTTTGGCTCCGGTTTGGAATCCCTCAATCTCACCAACGCGCCGCCCCACTGCATGTCGGCCGCAGGCAGTATGAAAGTCCGTCAGCAATGCACCAATCACGAGGAACTGAACCAGGGACCACAGTGACCAAGCAAGTAATTCTCTCTCTATATATATATACACATGGATTCACGGATCTGCTTCTAACAGAAGACCCACCTCGGCACATGTTTCGAGGACGGAAATCGAGCAAGAACACGAAACACGTGGATTGACTATCCCCCTCCATATGACCAAGGAGCTCGATCACTTCGGCCATCATGAAAGCCTCGTGGTGCTGGCTGGGTGGAGGCTTAGCAAGACGAACGTTTCGTGACTCCATGTGAAGTCTTCAAAAAAAAAATTATATATATATATATATCCACATATCTCCACTGCACTCTTCAAGATGCTGTTTGTTCACAACACCTGGCACCTTTCAGTTGAAGGATGCTTCAACAGGACCCCCATGTTTTTCGGAGGATGCCCACATAGTTTGCAGAAAGAACTCTTTCATCTGTAGCATCCGACGCGGTGGAAGGCACACCAAAAAGCGCTCGATGGCCAGGTCCGCCCAAGAGTTTCACGGCCCAGCAGCAAGTGGGATACACGGCCTCGTTGGGATTGATGTAGAAATCCCCTCGGGTGACGTTCAGCACCTGGCCAGGGATTTGGAGGGATTGTCCCATGGGATAAGATCAAAGAAGAAAATATCTGTACTATATATATATATACATATATTGTAACAACCAGACTGGTCATGCTCTTGGCCAAACACATCGACTGCAACTTGGGCCAAGCAAAGGGGGTGTTGTGCTTACGACCAAGGCTCACCTGCAGGAAATTTCCAAGCTTGGTAATACTTCGGAGCTTGTTGCCTTGATTCCGGCCACCGATTCGATTGAGCTTTCTCACCTTGCAAGCAAGCTTGAAGGCCCATATGAAGTGTCGCTGTTCGATCCCACCGCAAAAATTGCGTACAAGCGACTTGTCCACATGGTTGTACCCTAAGTCACCCAAATTAGTAATTTTACTAACCATAAAATTTACGTAAATTTTGGTTTTACTAAGGAAAATTTACGTAAAAATTTACGTAAATTTAATAGTAAATCCAATTTAGGTTATGAGTAAATCCAATTTAGGTTATTAGTAAATCCAATTTAGGTTATTAGTAAATTTTTTAGGTTATGAGTAAATTTTTGCGAGCATGATTTTGAAGCAGAAAATGTCTCTATTTATGTGAGTTGGCTTTCTCCAAAGAGGCAGGTTTTCTACAGGACAACATGTACTTGAGGATATTTGCGCTATGGATTTTTGTTTTTGTTGACTGAGCATGCCAGGAGGTGTGGACTTTGCCTTTACTTGAAGGGATTGCATTTACTTGAGCATGTGTACCCTTCTTGACTTGAACAAAACATTTTTACTTGAGGGTGTCTACTTGAGGGAGTAAATTTACTTGAGGATATGTACTTTTCTTCACTTTAGGAAGAAGAGCATTCTCTGATTCTCTGATGGTTTTTGCCAGTGTGAGGGTGCATGTTTTATGTGAGAGATCTTTTGGCTCTGTGAGAAGAAGAAAAAGAAGAAGAACAAGAGACACCTCAGCAAGAAGGAAACAAGCAGTGAAAGCGCAAAGCTGACAAGATTCTTGGACTGAACTTTAAACAAGTTTGCTTGTTGAAAATAAATTGTTCAAGTTTGTATTAACTGCAGCAAATGAACAAGAGTTATGTCAATGTTGGCTTGAAACCATTGTCAGGAGGCGTGACCGCATCAATGCCATGATGGACTTGATGAGGACGCTGCAAGATGACAGCAGTTCATCTCTGGAATCCTTGGAGTGAAAAAGACACAAGCAGCCTTTGGGGTAGAGTTGAGGGCACGCATTGTGACATGATGTTGAGAAGCTGTTACATGAAGAAGATCTGACTTTACTTGAGAAGCTTTTACATGAGGGTGTGACTTTACCTGTTGAGCTTTTACTTGAGGATGTGATTTCACTTGAGCATGGCACACTTTACTTGAGCATGGCAGACTTTACTTGAGCATGGCACACTTTACTTGAGCATGGCAGACATTACTTGAGGATGGTTTTACTTGAGTGTATTTTACTTCAGTGGTTGAGACTTTGTGTAAGTATACTTTGCATGAGGACGCCATTCAACTTGGAATTGTGTGCTTAGTCTTGTCTAGTTTTGTTGTGAGTTGAAGTGTATTTGATATGTATTTATGAAATTTAGTTCAAAAAACTAGAAATTTAAGAGAACATATTGATGAATTCTTGATGAACTTTTCAAAAGTGTATACACTTTTGATCAAAAGTGTATACACTTTTGTTAAAAGTGTATACACTTTTGAAAAGTACATCAGAAGTGCATCAAAAGTGCATCAAAAATTCATACAATTTTTTTGACAGATTTTATGAAAAGCTATGATATTCTGCATCATATTGTCAGCAAAAGATATCTAGCATTCTTGTGGGTTTACCCTTTACCTGAGAATGTAATGCTTTTGCACAAAGAGTTGATCAGCATTGTATGTTGTTCAATTTGAAGTTGGTTTATCCTTTACCTGAGAATGTAAAGCTTTTGCACAAAGAGTTGATCAGCATTGTATGTTGTTCAAATTGAA